CCCACCTCGGCCTTTCCAAAGTGTTGGGGTTACAGGCATGAGCCCCTGCACCTGGCCGACAATGGTGGTTTCTGAGATGAAAGATCTAAGAAAACGCCACTGGGTAGGATTCTTAGAAAAATCCCTTTTCTATTTTTTTAACTTATTATTATTATTATTACTGTCTGAAATGTGTTCCTGATGTCTGATCTTCAATATTCATTCTTTGAACTTGAAAGTGACAATGCTAAGTATAAACCAGCATAAAAAAATAATTTTAGTGAAATCTCTCTGCTATGCCTGGATTAAGAATCTCCAGGCTATAATTAAAAAGTAAGATTCTAGGTTATTTGAGTTAATAGAAGATTTCTATTAGTTTAATGCAAATCTTAGCTGATGTTCCTCATTATATTTAACTACACAGAGAATGGAATGACAGAAAATGGAGACTTCAAAAGGGTAATAAAGTGAGAGGGCGTGAATAATTAAAAATTACTTGATGAATACAATGTACATTATTTGGGTGATGCATACCCTGAAAGGCCTGACTTGACCACTACATGCAATCTTTGCATTTAAGAAAATTGCATTTGTACACTATAAATTTATACAAATTAATATTTATGTGTTTTCATGCATATGTAAATGAAATCATACGGTAAAGAGACTTTTGTGGTTCATTTAATCAGTGCATATTGATATTTTGAGATGGATGTAGAAATTAGTACTAATTTCCACTGCTATGTGAAATTATCTTTTGTTTTTGAACAATTTACCTACCCATTTTATTGTTGATGAACATTTGGGTTACATCAACATTTTTTATTGTTACAATGTTGCTAGGAACAATCATGGATATATCTTCTAGATCACATAAGATTTTTTATATTAATATACTATGACTGTAATTCCCAGATCACTGGATGTATGCATTTTCAAATATCTTTAGTAAGAAAAGATTGTATTTCTACATATGCTTACCAATTGAAAGTGTGTCTACTTGTGAGAGAAAATCGTATTTCACTAACATTTTAAATTATCTTTTTTTTCATTTTTCCAGTTGAGTGGGTATCAAAATTTATCTCCTGTTATTTTGCTTGTTTCAATTTCTAGTGAAATTAATTTTATCATATATTTTATAACATTGTGTTTCTTGTATGAAATAACAGATGATGTTGTTTGTCCATTATCCTGTCGAATCTGTTATTCTTATTACTTCAAAATAATTATATTATATTAAAAATACACATCTTAGGAGATTTTGGAATTGTAAATATATCTTTGTGATATCCATATTTACTATTTTCAATATTTATGTAGTTGAACAAATCAATCTTCTACTTTATGGTTTTAGGTTTTATTTTATGTCTTGTTTAGAAATTACCTTCTAACCACAATTAGGTGGCTTAAGTCTTTAGTCAATGTGGAATTAAATTTATGTAAGATGTCAGGAAAGAATCAACTTTCTTTTGTAAACATATAAATGTGATAACCTATGCTAGCCTAACTGACTCCATCTTAGCTTTGAGCCTGAGGTGCTCCGTGTTAGCCTCTCCCTCCCTGCCTTGGCCCCCTCAGGTGCATTACTGGGTCATGCTATACATAAAGCTTTGAACTATTGAGTTTGGTTAACACTGTTCTCAGTACCTATAACCAATATAACCCGTATCCTGCTTGGCAAGCCCCCCAGCTGTTGTGAAAAACCCTCCTTTTTTGTGATTGTATGGAAATATCCTGGCCCACAGCGACTTCCTCTAACCTGCTTATTCTGCTTCTGTAAAATTCTGCTTCAGCTAGGCTCCCCCTCCCCTACCTAAATAAAGGTATAAAAAAGAATCAAGCCCCTTCTTTGGGGCCGACAGATTTTGAGCTCGAGTTGACTCTAGGCCTCCGGCAAATAAAGGACTCAATTTGGAACTCAGAGTATTGAGCTTTCCTTCTAACTCGCTCAGTTACAACATAAGTAATCAATTTTCCCAGCACCATATCTTTGTAATCTTAAGTTCTTCTCACTGGTCTGAAATGCTACTTGTTTCATTAATCAACTTTAAAATAAGCTGCATCTAATTTCCAGTGTTAGGTGCTTTCTTTTTGTGTAAATACTTAGTAGCCAAACCTTAAATCTATCCTGAATGCTGAGATTAACCTACGGTTTTCTTTTCTTTTTTTAAAATCTACTCTGTCATTTTCTGTTCAAGATTTTACTACCCTGACAAAATAAGTTGTGACGCTGCTTTTATTCTTAGTTCTAATGGAAAAAAATGAAAATATTGTTTTGATTGAAAATACCTGTTCTTTGAATATTTGCTAAATGTCATTATTAAAAATTCTGCATCTTTTTTTCCCCTTCTTTTTTTTATTGTATTTTAGGTTCTGGGGTACATGTACAGATCATGCAGGGTTATTGCCTAGGTACATATATAACAAGCTGGTTTGCTGCCTCCATTCCCCCTTCATCTACAACTGGCATTTCTCCCAGCGTTATCCCTCCCCACCCTCCCCACCTCCTGATATCCCTCCCCTAGCCCCCCTGCCAACTGACCCCAGTGTGTGATGCTCCTCTCCCTGTGTCCACATGTTCTCATTGTCCAACACCTGCCTATGAGTGAGAACATTTGGTATTTGGTTTTCTGTTCTTGTGTCAGTTTGCTGAGAATGATGGTTTCCAGATTCATCCAAGTCCCTACAAAGGACACAAACTCATTGTTTTTTATGGCTGAATAGTATTCCATGGTGTATATGTGCCACATTTTCTTTGTCCAGTCTATCATTGATGGGCATTTGTATTTACATTTCTGAAATTCATTAGAATGACCCCATGAAGATCATTCCTAAACAAAATTTGGATGTAAATACCATTTATTGTTATGCCCATATCTCTTTTCAATTAGTTTAATCTTCATCTTTGTTATTACTCCCTAATCTTAAGCATGTGGCTCCAATCAGTTTCTTTCTGCTGTTTCTTCACCTGTCATGGAGCTGCTTACTGTGGTATTGAATCTGAGTCTGCCTTTCTTTACAAGTGCTTCAGCTATTTTTACATGCCTTTCTTACATGATTCTGATATAGTTTACCTTTATTGTAAGTGACTTACTCTATATAAGTTCTGTAAAAGCAACTATTTATTATTGTTTTGTGGGAATCTATTTTGGTAGATATGAAAGATAAAAGACACATCGTGATAAATGGAAAAGTAAGTTTATCCATTATATTGTAAAGATACTATTTCCTTTTATAAATAATATAATACATGCATTAATAATTTAATTGATAAGTGGCTGAAAATAGCTTATAGTGTTATCATTTCCAGAAACCATACATAAATTTTAACTCTCAACATTAAGGCATTAGGCCTGGCATTTAGGTATTAAGTCAGTAAGAATGTGTCTGGGGACTCAAAAGTCCTGCCAGTCCTCAAATGGCAACATGTAGCTAGTTGTCTGATACATGCATCAGGAATTTCCTACATAGTCAGCAAGTTTGCTAGTAAAAGAAACTTTAGTTTCTAATTTAAAACTATTTTAAAGGTGTATAGCACATAAAGTACTAAAGTGATTTGTTTTGTGGTTTAGGATTTTAGATGCCATTTTTACCTATGATAACTATGTTGATTAAAAAAGGAATTGTGAATGTCATTTTGGAAAGCCTGTTGTTCCCATTTTGTCTTAAAGATAAACAACCTATGTGTAAAACATAGGCATAGATTTTTATCTACTGCACAAAATAGAATTCTCTTACAGAAATTTTGTTGGTTTAATTGTCATTTTATTCACAATTGTGTTCCCTACTTGATGGCGAAAAACACTGAATTAACCAGGGAGAGAGAATATTGTAGTGAGTATGGAGTCACACCACCTGGATCTGCACTTATGTGTCAACAAGCTACCACATCTGATTCTGCTCTATTTATTGATCTGAAAATGTGTAATTATTTACAGTGATACTGTATGAATATTAACTTTGAAAACACTTAAAAAACTGTGCATATGATATTTAAGTATTTTTATGTTAATTATGTGATTTTTACAACTATAGGCTATTACTAATTTTACTGATGCCAGAAAAATTATGTGTATGGCTGTATCTATTTAGAGGACTGTAAGATGATTATATACATACTGGAATTATAAAAGAATGAAATGTTTAAAGCCAGTTTCATGTTTGCATGTATGTCCCCTCTGGTTTTCCTAGTAATTAAGAGCTCATGTTTTCAAATCAGAGTACCCCTACTTGAGTCTCAACCATGTCATTTACTACAAATATAGTCTAATGTTAGTGTAGAAGTTCCTCACCTGTTAAATGATGTTAATAGCACCGACCTCACTGGATTGCTGATGGGATTAAATAAGTTAGTGCATATAAAGTATATTGGACACTACCTAGCATACAGCTAGTGTTCAAGACTCCAAAATAATTTTTGAACATGTATGTGTATTTATGAAATATTTGAGGACATTTTAATATCACTTTAGAGGCTCTAAAGAAGAATTATAAACTTAGTAGCCAGAAATATGGTAATGTGCAGGCATTTCCAATATAATATTTTATTAGAAGTTGAAGCTAATAATATGTTAGAATTCTGCAAACAAGGTAATAGAAAATCTGCCTTATCAATCTCAATGGCTTAACATAATAAATTTTACTACTACTCACTACATAGTCTAATGAGATTGGAAGTTATGGTAGAGGGTTTTCATGAAATCACTATGGGTTACAGTTTCTTTCAACCTGGAATTACCACCATTTTTTACATTCTCCTCCAAGATTATAACAGAAGGGAAAGGCATAGGGCAGGATTCTGTATTGAATATACTTATAAACGAGACATGGATCTGGTTTATATTACTTTTTTATCTAGCAATTTGTTAGAACGATATGCAGCTGGAATTAGGAAATATGTTCTTTCTATTTACTCAGGAGGAAAATGAAGTAAATTCTATATGTTCATCATATTTCACCCTATTATAAATATTAAAATTGTATTGCAAATGTCATATAATTTTTCTGCAAGTCATACTTACCATCTAATATTGCTGAAGCATGTGAGAGCAGCTCTATAAAAACAATACAAAACCTGGAAAAATAAAATGTGATCATGAATATGTTGATGCGAATGATGAATCATTAAATTATTTTAACAGTATGGTGTTTCTTATGCTGATAGTAACATAAACCAGTAATAACTATTTCTGAAACTTGGCTCCTGAAAATAACATTATGTATCATAATTCTGTAAAAAATGCTAACAGAAAATGTGCTAGCAGCCATTATTCATTCTATATATTTTTAAGAGTTCTGGCAAGGGATCACTCCATAAAGTAATTATTTCAGCAAATGTATTCACAAATACAATATTTTTTTCTTTTAAGTATGTGATATTCAAAATACAATGATTGAAAAATTCATGGTTGCATCTTTATAATGCTTCTATTCACAGAAATGATCAGTACTTGCCATATAAAGCTCAGTGGCACAACAGCTATCTCTATCTGATAATAATTTTATCAAATTACAATATGTGTCACAATATTATAATTTATTTGCATAAAGGGTGAGCCATATTGCAATTGCATTATATCACAAAATGTTTTATAAATAACTATGAGTATCTATCTAGCCCAATTTTCTTTAACTTTTTTTTCAGGTATCATAACAGTTTTATTGAGGTATGATTTAAACATAACTTTCACACATAGTTATTTACAATTCAATACATTTTAGTTATTTACAGTTTAGTAAGTTTATATCATTGTGTGGTGGTACATCTACCATGGTCTAATTTAGATATTTCCATTGAACCTACTTAAAGGCAATCCTCATATCCATCCACATCCCCAGGTAAATATAGTTACGATTTCTATTTATGTAAATTTGTTCTGAATATTTTATATAAACGGAGTGATATAAAACATACTATTTTGTATCTTGCTTCTTTCATAAAGATTTTGAAGTCAATTCACCTTCCATATACATAATTTATTCCTTTTTATTTATTTATAGTATTCATTGTACGGATATATCACATTTGTTTATCTAATCACCAGTTGGGTTTCTACTTTTTGGCAATTGTGAACAAAGCATCTATGTACATTGGCATACTAAATTTTGAGTGAGGAGTGTATGTACCACTTTAATTCTCTTGGATAGATTTTTAGGACAAAAATTGCTGGTCATATGATAAACTTATGTTTAGCTTTTTAAGAAACAGATGGACTTTTGCAAAGAGATTGTACTATTTTTATTTGAACCAGCAATTTAGAAGAGTTCCAGTTTCTTGAAATCCTTCTAATACTTGGTATTGACTATCTTTTATATTATAGTCCTCTGGTCCATGTATAATAAGATATCATTGTGATTTTAATTTTAGTTTTCCAAATGACTAATGATGTTGAGAACATTTTATAATGTTTAATAACAATTTGTATGTCTACCTTGATCAAAAGTGTTTTGTCTATTTTTTAAATTGTTTTGTTATTATTTTTGAGTTGCAAGCTTTATTTATATATTCTGGATGAAAACTCTCCATCAGATATATGATTTGCAAAAAATTATATTTTAGCTTATTGTTTCTGAGGGTAATTTTAATATATGTTTATACCTCTCTGAGCAACATAAATATATTGCTTTTCAAGAAGGAGTCCAATGTCTATTTTGTTAGACTTTTTCCTCTGTATATATGTACAAAGATAAAACCTGTGATCTAGATACCTACATATACCTTTATTTTCCTTATGTGTATCTGAGGTTTACATTAAAACCTAGCTTTCTATGTCTTTTCATGGTTTCTAAACTTCCTTAACATTACATTATATGCAGAAGTGATGGTGGCAAAGGACAAGAAGCTAGAATCCTATGGTCAGGCCCATCTCAGAGATCTTGTTTCTAATAAATCCAACTTAAGACCCTTGTGTTATTCCATATATACTATTTATATTTTCTGCCACATCAATCCAGAAAAGAATTTCGTACGTTTTATTAATTTCCACAAAACAAAAAGATACAACACTAAATGATATGGCTTGGCTGTGTCCCCACCCAAATCTCATTTTGAATTGTAGCTCCCATAATTCTCATGTGTTGTGGGAGGGTCCCGGTGGAGAATTGTTGAATCATGTGGGTGGTGTTCCCCATATTTTTTCCATGATAGTGAATATGTTTCACAAAATCTGATTGTTTTATAAAGGGTTTCTCTTTTCAGTTGGTTCTCATTCTCTCTTGACTGCCATCATGTAAGATGTGCCTTTTGCCTTCTGCCATGATTGAGCCAAATGGACCTGTGAGTCCATCAGACCTCTTTTTATTTATAAATTACCCATTCTGGGGTATGTCTTTATCAGCAGCATGAAAACAAACTAAAACAATAAAGTGGAAATAGGAGTGAGGTGCTTCTGTAAAGATACCCATAAGTTTGGAAGTGACTTTGGAACTGGTTAACAGGCAGGGTTTGGAACAGTTTGGAGGGCTCAGAAGAAGACAAAAAAATGTGAGAAACTTTGGAACTTCCTAGACACTTGTTGAATGGCTTTGAGGTAGCTGATAATAATATGGTCAATTAAATCAAAACTGAAGTGGTCTCCGATGGAGATGAGGAATTTGATTGGAACTGGAGTAAAAGTGACTCTTGCTACATTTTAGCAAAGAGACTGGCAGCATTTTGCTCCTGCCCTTGAAAATTGTGGAATGTCTAACTTGATAGAGATGATTTAGGGTATCTGGCAGAAGAAACTTCTAAGCAGCAAAGCATTCAAGAGGTGACTTTGGTGCTGTTAAAAGCATTCAGCTTTAAAAGAGAAACAGCATAAAACTTCAGAAATTTGCAGCTTGCTGATACAATAGGGAAAAAAAAACTTATGAGAAGAAATTCAAGTTCACTGCAGTAATTTGTATAAGTAATGAGAAGACAAATGTTAATTGCCAAGACAATGAGGAAAATGTTTCCAGGGCATGTCAGAGACTTTCAGGGGAGACCCTCCCATCACAAGCACAGGGGTCATAGAGAAAAACACATTTTTTGTGGGCTGTGTGCCCATCTATTTATCTATGTCTTTATATGTGTGTAACAACAGAGTGCTATACACACACCCACATTTGTCAGTTGTATGTGTCTAAGTCTGCCTGTTTGTCTCTCTGTAATCTGTCTCTCTTTGTCTATTGTATGTCTTCCTGTTTGTCTACCTGTCTCTCTGCCTGTCTTTCCTTCTATCAGATTATCTAGCCACATATGTATTAGTGGAATCATTGAACCAAAATAGATTTAATCATGTCATGTTTAAAACTAGCTATATAATATTTCTTTGCATTAATTTTACAGACTTTACTTAGTCCTATTGTTCATGGACATTTAAGTTGGTTTTTAAATACCTGAAATAATGTGGCTTCGGAAATCATAGAATATCACTCTGAGGAATTACTGCTATGAAAGTTTAGAAATTCACAAAAATAACTTTTACTCAATGGACTGTCCTTGCTGTTAAATATGTGAAAGATTTCAATTTAAAGCACAGACCAACTCTTTCAGTTATTTTATTCCTAAGAAATAACATATTCAAAGGTTATTTTTTCACATTTTTGAACTGATTTAAAACATTATGTTTAGACAGATTTTATTGAAGATTAAATAATATCAAGTTAATTGAGAGAAGTATATTTTACATATTAAAATATTATTAATGTATATATAGGAATCAATTATCCACTAAAGATTTATAATTATGATATTAAAAATTCAGTTTTCATGTAGAGGAAAATAAGCATAGCTCAAGCAAAATGGTGCAATGAACAACATGTTATTTGCAAAATATTAACTCTACTTGCTGGTATTTTTAGTTTGTTCAAAGCTACTGTTTGAACATCTAAATCATAGATCAGTGAAAAATTTAACAAAAAATGTAATTTTATATATCTCTTCAGATTTTTAGTGCTAAGATGAACAAATATGAGTTTGATGGCAATTAAATTAGGTAAATTAATAATACATCAAATGACCTTCACTATAAAGTGATAATTAAAGAATGAATTCCATCTTCTAGGGAGAATTTTAGTTGTGTGCTCATGGTTAGGGAGAATCAATATCATGAAAATGGCCATACTGCCCAAAGTAATTTATAGATTCAATGCTATCCCCATCAAGATACCATTGACCTTCTTCACGGAGCTGGAAAAAAACAACCTTAAACTTCATATGAAACCAAAAAAAGAGCCCGCATAGCCAAGACAATTCTAAGCAAAAAGAACAAAGCTGGAGGGATTACATTATCTGACATCAAACTATACTATAAGGCTACAGTAATCAAAACAGCATGGTACTGGTACCAAAACAGAGATATAGAAAAATGTAACAGAACAGAGGCCTCAGAAGTAAGGCCACACATCTAAAACTATTTGATCTTTTACAAATGAGACAAAAACAAGCAATGGGGAAAGGATTCCCTGTTTAATAAATAGTTTTGGGAAAACTGGCTAGCCATGTGCAGAAAGCTGAACTAGATCACTTCCTTACACGTTATACAAAAATTAACTGCAGATGTATTAAATATTTAAATATAAGATCTAACACCATAAAAACCCCACAAGAAAACCTAGGAAAACCATTCAGGACAAAAGCATAGGCAAGGACTTCATGGCTAAAACACCAAAAGCAATGGCAACAAAAGCCAAAACAGACAAATGGGACCTAACTACATGTAAGAACTTCTAGCCAGCAAAAGAAACAATCATTAGAGTGAACAGGCAACCAACAGAATGGGAGAAAATTTTTGCAAGCTACTCATCTGACCAAGGGCTAATATCCAAAATCTACAAAGAACTAAAACAAATATACAAGAAAAAAACAAACGACAACATCAAAAAGTGGGCAAAAGATATAAACAGACACTTTTCAAAAGAAGACATTTATGCAGCCAACAGAAGAAAAAATGCTCATCTCATAAAATTATTGGGAAGGATTCCCTCATTTTGGATTGTTTGGAATAGTTTCAGAAGGAGAGGTACCAGCTCCTCTTTGTATGTCTGGTAGAATTTGGCTGTGAACCCATCTGGTCCTGCGCTTTTTATGGTGGGTAGGCTACTAATTGC